ATGTAACTGTGAATCTCTGTCTCCCATTGACAGAAGAGAGACCAGACGCTCCAAGATGGGAAGTCATTAGCTCAAAACCACACACAGACCTGAGTCAGAATTTGTGCCCAGGTCTGCCTGACTCTGAAGTACAGGATCATACCCTCATGGCACACTATTTCAGTTGTACTGGGAAAGATTTATACAGGTGTCCCCTGACTTACCCACAGTTTCATTTTCCATAGTTACTTGCCATCAATCTTGGTCTGAAAATTTTAAGTGGAAAATTCTAGAAATAAACAATTTTAAATCGGACACAATCTGCGTAGCCTCAGGAAATCTCACGCTGTCCTATCAGGCCAGGGGTAGGAGTCGTTCCTTGCTCCAGTGTGTCCATGCTGTATATACTATCCACCTTTTCATTAGCCACTCGGTAACCATCTTGAATATCAGAATGACTGCAGTACCGCAGTGCATGTGTTCAGGGAACCCTGATTTTAGTAATGACCTCAAAGCACAAAGTAGGGAAGTTGGCCATTCAGATCTGCCAAAGGGAAGCTGTAAGGTATTTCCTTCAGAAATTAAAAGTTCTCGGTATGGGGGGAAAAAATCATATGCTGAGGTTGCTAAGACTTGCTTTACAGTAAGGTCTCCCTCTCTCTTCACATTCATATAACTTGTATTCCATGATGTCATTGCAAGTCTTCTATTTTTTCTTACTGTTGTTGATTTCTTGATGTGCCTTACTTATAAATTAAACTTTATCATAAATGTATCAGTGCAGGGTTTGGTGTTATCTGCAGTTCCAGGCGTCCACCGGGGTCTTGAAATGTATCCCTACAGATAAAAGGTGGGGGATGCCTCTGGTACATTCGGGTCTCTGGAGGTGTTGACACGGGGACAGCTGGGGGCAGGATTGGGCCACAGCCTGTGCTGCAGACAGACGTTTCCGGTGCGGTCTTATCTGGAGCCAACTTGGAGGTGCTAGCATTTCACTAGCTAGGCAGCCCCTGAGTTCCTGGCCCACGCGTCTGAAGTACTTCTGACTGTCACTTATGCACTTGGCGTTTCAGGGAGCAGTCAGATGCCATAGACACCCCGTGAGCGCCGCCATCTGCCTGTTGCCGTGCTAGGATGTTGGTGAGGAAGAAAGAGAGCAGTGACAGAGGCAGCGGTGATGATGATCATGCTGCTGCAGATCATGGGGTGACAGGGGTGATGACAGTCACAACAGCTCACGTTAGCCAGGAACTGGCGAGTGCCAGGAAACCTTCTGAGTGTTCTATACATACTCTCTCCATCCTCACACCACCACGGTGCACTGGGCTGTAGTATTCTCTGCTTTTACAGAGGAGGAAACTAAGGCACAGAGAGGGTAGGACACTTACCTAGAGTTGCACAGTGAGTGGGAGGCAGAGCTATATTACTGTTCTAAATACAGATGCCGATCAGCCCTGCTCAGAGGACCCAAAGTAACAGAAGGATACTCATGATGGAGTGTGACATGTACAGTAATAGCAGCATGAGGCGATGGTGACGGTGGTACATGCTTATCCTTTGCCTTTGGCCCAGCACCCTTCTAAGCATTCTCTGTACATCTTCTCATTGAATTTTCCCAATTACAAGAAATAGGTGCTTTTAACCCCATTTTAGAGGTGACAAACTTCAGGCCCAGGCTGGTTGGAGTTATAGGTCAGAGGTCACACAGAAAGGGGCAGAGCCAGAGACTGACCCTGTGATCTCAAGTCTCCTGGGCTGTCCAGAGATAGCACAGCCTGAGGACTTAGTGAGTCCTCACAGAGAAGGTGACTCTCAAGCCAGGACTGAGGGGTCATTAAGAGCCTCCAGGGGCCAGAGGGCACAGTCATTCCTGGCAGAGGAAATATCAGGGGCAAGGCAGAGGGGAGACTGGAACACAGCGTGGTCACCAACATGGCGAGCGTGGCTGGAACACAGAAGGTGGGACAGGAGAGGAGGCCAGGGTGGGATGGCAGGCCTTGCTCTCCCTGTCCAGGGACTCAGGGTCTTCCTGAGGCTATGTGGAGCTCGTCAAGAGGGACAGGAGCAGATTCTGGTAGTGGGTCGCCTGGAGATGGAATCCAGTTCCAGGCCCCTGTTACCACGAGCGCAAAGCAATGCTGTGAATGTGGAAATAAAACTGGTTTCATCACGTCCCACATGGAAACCCAGTAGCACCCCTACTGTGCTCTGGCCCTCGTGCCAGCAAATCCAGCGCCTGCCATAAGGCAGGGTCAAGATCCAATTGTTAGGCTGTGCAGGAGGACCGCAAGTTCAAAGCCAGCCTCAGCAACTCAGTGAGGCCCTAAGCCACTCAGTGAGACCCTGTCTCACAATAAAATATGAAAAGGGCTGGGGATGGGGCTCAGTGGTTAAGCACCCCCGGATTCAATCCCTGGTACCAAAAAAAAAAAAATGCAACTGTTGTCAGATGGTTTCCTTAAGTTGCTCACACTACAAATTGTTGCCAACTCGAGGCCTCCTCCACTGCCATTTAGACAGATGTGTGATTTCAGGGACAACATACCATGCCCCTGATCCTCACACCAGATGCTTTTAGGATGGCCAAAATAGCATGGAGCCGATATATCCAAAGAGTGGAAATTGTGTGAAGGATGCTTTGGGCCGAGAGTCCTTTTCAGTGGTTTAGGATGTAAAAGAGGGAGTTTCCATCTCCCTCTACCCAGCAGTAGCACAGGCAAGAATCCTCTGTAGGGAGTGGGAAAGACCCTGCGAGACCCCTTGCACCTGAGGGCTGCCCAGGGTAGATACTGAGCTAATTGGACCTGTGGCCTATGTCGTCAACCCTCCTGACATTTTTTTCCATTATCAGAACCTCCAGGTCTTGGAGACGCCCCCATCTCCAGCCAGATAATTGCCTGGCTGCGCCGACCCCTACTGGGGCCCCACAAAATTATTCTCATTTACAACTCTAGTTTCTCTGGCCAGTCGCCATTGCTTTGCAATAAGAACATTAAGTGGCCAGGAGCTGTGTGTTGCCCGGGCTTCATGCCCTGCAGGAGCGTCCGCCTCCCTTAGGGCCAAAACCAGTTCCCTCCGAGACCCTGGCTCATCTGGCTTCTCAGTCTCCATCTGGGTTCCCCTCCTCCTACTGGCCCTCCTTTGAATGGCATGCTCTCTCTGGGAAACCCCTACTCCCCGACATTCAAGCTGACTGGCACCCTTCATCCTTCAGATCTCACCCTCACTTCCTGGAGCCCCTGAGGGGACATGGTTTCCCCTGGTGCCACATGTATTGTGTTCGGCTGTGGTTCAGAGGCCCACCCATCTCCTTCAAGTGACACCTGCCTCATGGGCACAGAGGTGCCCCTGGGTCCCTAGAGTATAGCATCCTGACCAACAAACAGGAGCCTGGCAAATGTGTTTCTAGTTTAAAATTGGAGTTGACCGAAATGAGCAGCCATTAGTACTTTTATTTTATTTTTTTTAGGCACTGGTTCTTTTATAAAGGTCCTGTTGAGTAAGGTGCTCTTGGGTGGCTTGTAATCAGTGTGTTCCCCGCCCCCCCAACTCTATCTTCTTACCTGGAAATAGGGCCCCAACTGAATCCTCGAAGGTGTTGGGTGTGAAGTAACTATAGGAACCCTGGGAATCACTGCAATGCATCTCCTGTGACTTAGGGAGTCTTTCTCTTTAAGTCTTTGCATCTGACATCAATTATGTCTTTCCCGCTCAGCCCACCTTCTCTGCCTTGGAAACCCAGCCTGATTAGCCGTACACTTAGTCTATCCTGCAGGGGGACACCGCGGGCTGGTGGTGCACTGGCCTCATTTTTGCAGAGCAGATGGAATCTTTGCGAGCCCAGGTCAGCCGGGAGGCAGCTTAGGGATCCTGAGGGGGGCTTCTCCCTGCGTCCCGGTTAACCTTTGCTTCCTGGTTAACCTTTGCTTCCTGCCGCCCGCCTGCGGGGGTGGGCTCTGCGCACCTGTGCTCCTCCAATCCCGCATCTGACCTGCACTGCAGACACCTGGCCACTCCCAGGCCCTGCCCTTCAAAAGAGCATAGGATTTCCTGCTGAGCTACTGGAGAGGTGGAGGAAGGAGCTGCCCGGGTAGGAGGTATCACCTGAGCAGGGAGAACCCTGAGCCAGTGGGTAGACTTTTCCCGAGACCCCGAGACTGCGGCTGCTACTTAGAGATGGTCCTGTGCTGCGAGGAGAGCGAGGGGTGCCTCCCCATCTTTCACTGTGTTGGAGCCCTTGAGCGGAACGCGGGTAGGTGCCAGACTCAGGGAGAGAACAGGAGTGCTGGGGATCTGGGTGGTGGAAATCAACAGGACAAGATATCGCGGTGCCCCAGCTCCTCCGGGGTGCTGTCGGTCCATCTTTGGGACTGGTCGAGATTCCAGGGCCAGAGTGCCACACACACCCTCGGCCAGGGGAGCAGGGAGACCCATATTTACCTGGGACGCCCCACCGTGACTGCTAGGGAGAGGTGCTTTCCCAAAATAGAATCGGGGTGTAGTCACCTTAGGAAAGGGGAGCGAGGTGGCCCTGTAGTCCCAGCTGCCTATCCTGGTCCCGATAGCAGAACCCATGGTGGTGTGGTGTTGCTCCTGCCCGCATGGGGAACCCTGGAGGCGCTCCAGTGGCCCTTTCCTGTCCCTTCCTGGAGACTTCACCGCATTTGCTCAGTGTGCCAGAGTCCCCTCAGTGTGGGTAGCACTCTGTGAGTCTAGCTGCATATCCCTTCCACACCCCTCTCTTTAAAAACATCCTCAGCTCCACCAGCAGATCCGTCCCTCTGGCCATTGGAGAATACACCCTGCAGGTGAGGCACGGCTGTCCTGGGGCTGGGACAGGCAAGGAAATGGAGCGAGGTGCATGTTCTCCTCCACCCCACCTACCTGCCACAGGGCAGCCCAGAGCGGGCCACCCAGCTTTCCGGAAACCAGACAGAACTGGATATGGAACTCCGCACTGTGTTCTGGCTGCCCAGCTCCGCTGGCCTCTGTCCTCTAACTGGGATGGTTTCTCTTTGCAGCAGAGAAGAACACCTCAGGAATGATCAGCCGCCCTTCTCCTGGGAGGATGGAGTGGATCATCCCTCTGATTGTGGTGTCAGCCTTGACCTTCCTGTGCCTCATCCTCCTCATTGCCGTCCTCGTTTACTGGAGGTAAGTGGCCCAGCGGGTGCTGGCCAGGTGCTCCTCACTGGGGAGGAGAACCCCGGGGCCTCGGCATTTAGAAAATCTGAGACAGCTGCGTTGTTTCTAGTGTTCTCACCTGGGAGACCCTGTTGACTCTGGGAGACAGTAGGGGCCAGAGCCACTTCTCAGGGTGAGGGACTTGGGGTACGCTTCTGGGACTTTTTGCCAAAGACGTTTTGCTGGAGAATCGGGGAGATTCCTGTTCAAGCCCCAACTCTGCTGCTTGCTGGATTCAAATCCCATCTCCACTTTGAGTCTGGGTTTCTGAACCTGCAAAATGAGTTAATAAGTTTCAGGGTATTTCTGGTGTCTCTGAGACCAGGCTTTATTTTGTTATATCCAGCTAATAAAAATTCTTCACATTAAAATTTTTTTTCCTAACCTTTTGCCAAAAATTACACTGGGTGAGTGGGGGGGGGGGTGTTAGGAAAATATTCAGCACGGTATGTGGCATTTGACCTAGGAGATTAAAATGGCGGACTATAGTCAGGTGCAGTGGTACACACCTGTAATCCCAGCAGCTCTGGAGGCTAAAGTAGGAAGATTGAGAGTTCAAATCCAGCCTCAGTTTAACAAGGCCCTGAGCAACTCGGGGAGATCCTGTCTCTAAATGAAATGTTAAAAAATGGCTGGGGATGTGGCTCTGTGGTTAAGCACCACTGGGTTCGATCCCCAGTACCACCCCCCCCCCCAAAAAAAAAGGTGGATTGTAAGCCATCCTTCCATTTCTGTCTTCTTTGAAGTGATTTCTGATGCACCCTGTGGAGCCAGCTTGCAAGTTATGCTGAAGTTCTGGTTTTTCAGCTGTACAGCCTCAGCCAGCTCAGCTGAGGCAGGCTGGCCTGCTTGGCACTTCTCAGATGAATATAGGCAGCTCCCGCCCTGTACCTTAAATGTGTCTCCAATGACAAACAGGGTTATATCTTCATCCCTCCCTCTCATTCATTCAGTTAATTTTGAGCCCTTTCCATGTGGCAGCTAGTCCTCTAGGCCCTGGTGATACAAAAGCAGAGCCAGACATAAATCCCTGCGCTCACAGAGCTTGCATTTTAATAGAAAAGACAGGTGATAAACCACGCAAATAATTAAAACTTACGGTTCCTGAGCTGTTAGGCGTGTAATGGGGAAAACTCGGGAAAGAGGAGGGGGCATGCTGGGGCAGGGGGTGAGTGTTCAGAGTGGTCGAGAGCAGTCTAACTGGCCAGTGATACCTGAGGGAAGACTTAAATGAGATCAAATGAGCTCCATCTGGAGCACATTCCAAACAGAAGAAAGAGAAGTACAAAGGCCCTGAGGCAGAAGCATGGCTGGCATGGAGCAGGACTACCCCAGTGGGTGCATATAGCTGGAGCACTTGAGCCCAGAGGGAGAGTGGTAGGAGAGGGTGTCGGGAAGAGTCAGGGCAGAGGAGGATCAGGTCACAGAAGGCCTGGGGACCACTGTTAACACATAGGCTTTGACCTTGACATAAGTGTGATTGGGTGTAGAAAGGTATTGTGATCTGACTTCAGGATTACTTGGGGGCTATGCTAAACATAGATTGAAGAGGAGCCAGGGGAGAAGCAGAGTCCATCAGGGAAACCCTGCAGTGGAGGACGTGGCCGGGGCCCTGGTGAGATTGTGCAAGTGGTGAGCAGCAATAACACATAGATATATCCTAAAGGTGGGATCAACAGAATGTGCTGACGGGCTGGCTGTGTGTCCTGGGGTCTGTTCTCAGTCACTGAGATCAGGGGGGTAAGAAAAGGATCCTCTCGGGCCTCCCCCAGGTGTCCAGTAGTAACCTCAAGGCTGCTAGTGCTGGACTGTGAAGTGCCTGGTGTCCAGGGAGCACAGGAAGATAAACTCCCTGACATCCCCTCTCCAGCAAATAGTGATTTGCTAACAAATATTTGTCTGGAGCCTGCTAGTGCATCCAGGTGAGTGTGGGAAGTTAAAGATCCGCATGCCCAGCTCCCGGCTCTGCGGCTTAGGTCTCAGCCTCTCCCTTTGTGGAGCACAGAGATCCCGCAGCAATCTGCCACTAGTGACCCTCGTTTAGCAATTTGAGCTTAAAGGAAGCATCTTGTACACAGTACTTTCGCAAATTCTTCAGGACTGTTTCTGATCAGCCCGCCTTGGGTCTTCTGTCTATTCCTGAGCAGATCACGGGGGCCAAGGAGGACCATGAACCTAGCAGGCAAAGGTCCAAAAAACAAGCGTTTATTGCACCTCCTTCTATATGGCCATGGACATGGTGAAGACGGCTTTAAAACCCTACTGCTCAAGGTGTGCCCTCCCTTGAGAAAACAGCTGTTGAGACTCCTGAAAACCTCAGTTAAAATGGGAAATATATTAACAGCTCCTGCTCAGAATAATTTTATAATGGGGTATGTGAGCACATGCTCATGTGTGCATATATGTATGTGTATACACAAGTTTTCTAGGGAAAGATTATATACAAAATATGGGGGGAAATCTCATTCATACGCCTGTATTTTTCCAAAATTATATACATAGCTTGGTTTCAACTAGCCAGAGCTTTCGCCCTCATCAGTAGAGTCTAGATTGGGGCTTTTACCAAATTTAGTGCCAGTAGCACAAAAATCAATGCAAAACAGAAAAATTCTTACACAAAGAAAATAAAACTGAATTAGTGTCAGTGCGTTGGCTAAGCCTGGAGGAGACAAGGGCCCTTTTTTTCTGTCCAACTTTTTCCTTATTAATGTGGAAGAAGCGGCGCTAGGGAGCTCACGTCGAGAATTGGCACTTGCGGAAGAGACGTGCGTGTCCCTTTGGCTGTGCATTGTTGAAGCTGGAACTCCACTGTTTCCCTTCTGCCTTCTGAGGCCCAGTGGGAGTGGGTGATTGGCAAGTAGACTTGACATAAGTAGAGCATGGAGGCAGAGCAAAGCCTCCTGGGTCATTTCCTCGGGTAGCAGGTCTGGCACCAGCTCCCAGCGACAGCAGTTTCTACCGCAACCAGGGCCTGATCGTTTGCGGCTAGCATTCCAGAATGCTGGGTGAGTTCACTTGGAGTCGTTGACACTGCGATTCAATGGGAGAAGCAGTGAGAAATTAAACCCAGGCTCTCTAAATTCTGTCTCCCCACCCGTGTTCCACTGTATGAGGATGTCGGTGCTCGCTGACGTTCGTTCAGTGGGTCCTTTTTGAGGGCCAAATACTTGGATGGTACCATCCCATGTGGCTCTTACGAATCTGTGTGCAGGGTACAGTGTCTAACCCTTTTCTTTGAACTGGGAAGAGAAAGGGAACTAACATTTGTTGAATACCTGCTGTGGACCAGGCACTGGGCAGTACTGTCTCATACCATATTGCTCAAAACCCTTTTCTGTTGCAGTCTGACAAAAATCCATTTCACACTGCCTTAAGCACACAGAACAGGAATATGTTGGTTGATTCATGGAGTAGGAAGTTTCAGGAATGTCAGGCCTGGTTGGAATTGGAAGGTTGAACAAGAACAGGAGGCATTGGGCTGGTGTAGTCTGTTTCTGGGATCTGTTCTCTGAAGCAGGCCTCGGCCTGTTTCAACACATGGTGAGCTCTGGCCCATGTGCGACTGACATCTCTCCATTCCCGTGGAAAGAAATGTTTCCTTTGATAGTCCAATTAACAGGAGGCTGAGGCAGGAAGATCGTGAGTTCAAAGCCAGCCTCAGCAACTTAGCAAGGCCCTAAGCAACTCAGCAAGACCCTGTCTCTAAATAAAATATTAAAAAGGCCTTTGAGTGTGGCTCAGTGGTTAGGTTAAGTGCCTCTGGGTTCAATCTCCCACTCCACCCCCCAAAAAAGATCCAAGTAAGTCCTAAGATGGCATTGCTCAGGAATGACTTATACCATTTGTCCATCCCCAGAATCGGGCCTCTGTGCTTGTTGGGCCTATATCTTAAATTTAACTCTGCCCCAAAATGTGTGTATGTATGCATGTGTCCAAAATGAGTCAGTGCCATTTCCATGAAAACCAGGGACTTAAAACTGGAGAAGGGGTTACAAAGGACCATCCTGGCCCAGAAAGGAGGCTACTTTAGAATGTTTGGCTCAGTATTTTGATATTTAAGAAATCATAAAGCATTTTGTGCTATTGCATGAGCATGGACCCATTTTCAACCTTTTATTATTTATGCAATCCTTAGAGGTCCTGCCATACATTGTGCTGGGCCTGGTGATTCAGGGTTGATGTCCTTTGGCCCTCACAGTCATTGGAAGACGTGGATGAGTGTGAAGAGTTTTTGGAAAAGGGCTTCAACCCAGCCTTGAAGATGTAAGCCAAGGGAGGAGAACATAAAGAGGTGACACTAGAGAGAGCCTGGCCTCCTACAAGCAGATGTGGGTCACGAGAGCAGAGTGTGGGACAGCAAGGGTCAGATCAGGAAGGCATTGGATGCCACCCAAAAGGATGTATGCCTTGCCATGAGGATGATTGAAAGGCACTGAAGGAGCCCAAGGTACAGGAAGGCAGATCAGAGAGGGGCCTTGCCTCATGTTTAAGGGGGAACATGGGTCCTGAGTCACAGCCTGGATTCAGAGACAGTTTGTACCACACTCATCACCGTGTAGCCAGAGAGGGTACATAATTGGAGCTGCCATCCCCAAAGGGGAGCAATTGTTCTAGGAAGGTAAAGAAAACTTGCTGACTTGGAGTGTAAAACACAGATAAAGCATGTAGACAGATATGCTGTGTATTCTTGGTGTTAGTATTGCCTGGGGTTGGGCAATTGGGAAATGATGCCTGAGCGGAGCATTCTGGGAGGTGCCAGTAAAAATCAGCCTCAGATGAAGGCTCCTTCACCAGCTTCAGTTTCCACCTCTGCAAAATAGATTTAAGAAACGTGCCACCCAAGTTCCCATGGGGATTCGGTGTTTGCTGTGGGAAATGCCTCTCCTGGTGCCTGGTAGATGGATGCACAGACATTTGCCACCAGAGCAGATGGAATTCTGGGTCCTGAGGTGCTTAAAAGTTTTTAATAA